AGGACACGAACCGCGGTCGACTACGTGGGAGTCCAGCGACCTAGCCATTACCCTAACTGCTGGTTCCAGTTTCGTCAGATTTTTAAAAAATTTTCTAGTATGGTTGTTTACAAACCTGAATGCATAATCCCCTTACTATCAGTACTACCAAGGAGCATATATTGGGTTGTTAGAAAAGCCATGACACATTTTTGCATAGAAAACTGTAGAAGAAATATGTCATGACTTTTCTGACAACCCAGTAGACTTATTTTAAGAATTATTTTATTGGGACCAGCAGTTAGTGTAATGGCTATGTTGCTGGACTTCCATGTAGTCAGCCCCAGTTTGAATCCCAGACCCAGTGGCTTGAAACTCACGCCAGGCGCATGTGCATGTGTGCCCAAGATACTGAGAAGAGCACCGGAGAGAAGGGATTACATCGTGACCATACCCCCAAGGGGTGATTTTTTGCTTTCTGTCTCTCTGTCTCTCTCTGTCTGGCGAGCGCAGGTGCCCTATAGCAAAAACCTCTCAAAAAAAAAAAATGATTTATTTAGGGACCAGCAGGTGGTGTGGTGGTTAAGGCACTGGACATTCCCATGTGGCCAACCATGGGTCTAGTCCCAGACCTGGCAGCTTGCTTTCTCTTTCTCTCTCTGTTTCTCTCTCTCTTTCTCCCTTCCTCTCTCTGATCAAATTAAAATAAATTAATGAATAAAATGAAATAATTATTTTAAAGATTATTTTATTTAACTTTATTTATTTTTTAAAATTTGACCAGAGAGGGAAAGTGAGAAAGGAAGCTGCCAGGTCCAGCACTTGAACCACAGTGAGCCATGTGGGAGTCCAGTGCCTTTAACTACTACAATACTACCTGCCGGGCGATTTTTTTAATCTTGACATTTGCAAACAAGAAATTAAATGTAAAGACTGTCTGTTTTATAGAAGAAAAGGGAAGCCCCTTGTGATGAAAGGATATTCGGTCATTAGGTGTTTGAATAATTACCTGCCAGGCACTGTACTTGAAGTTGTAGGAACAGTGGTGAAAAACACAGGTCTTGTTCTCAGACTCCTCCTGGACTGCCACTGGATACACCTGGAACCCGGACAAAGGTTCCTGGTGAAAACAAGCATTGCCTTGAGATTACTGAGTTTTGATTTCTGTACCTTTTTATTGTGTTTCAGTTACAGCCATTTCACTTTGTTCACTCAACATTCATGATCTAATTATGGTCTTTAATGAAATGTGTTTGTAACTATTTAAATATGTAAATAAGTTCAGAAAACTAGGAGGTGGCAGGTACCAACAGAGTGCAGGTATAGTGCTATTTTTGTTTATGATGTCTATAGGTGATCTGCTTATATGCGTATAGTCTGACATATGCCTCACAAACACCCATATATATTTATTCAGCAAGTATTGGATGTTCACCATATATAAGATAATGTTCTATGCATTGAGAATTCAGCGGTAAATAGAACATACTAAAAATTGCCTCCTGCCTTTGTAAAGCTTGAAGTGGCAAAAGACATACCAAAATAGACAATTCATAACATTACTAAGGAAGTTAAGTACCATGGAGAAAATCAGAACCAGGGGTGGGAGATAAAGAGAGTCTGGATGGTGCATTGCAGTTGGGGTAGCTAGAAAATGATTCATTGAAATTGTAATGTTGACTAGAGCTTCAGTGAGAGAAAAAGCCATATAGGTACCTATAGAAAAACATACCAGATAGGGGGGCAGGGGACAACTAGTTTAAAATTTTGAGGCAGAAGCGTGCCTGGCATGTTTTAAATGAGTAAGGAATTCTGTGAGGCTGTAGGGTGGGTGGGAGAGGGGACATTGGAAGGGCATGGAGTGGTGATATCTTAGAAGCTGGTGCAGAGGTGTTTTGTGTTATTGATGAGTCTAACAAGGACTGAGAATTGACCCCTGGATTTGGCACTATGGAAGTCTGGTAACTTCCTAGTCAGTTTTGGTAGAGTGACAAGAGTAAAATCTTTAAGAGTTCAGTGAGTTTAAAGGAATGAGATAAAAGGTATTATAGGCAGCCAGTATAGTCTTTTTTCTTTTTTAAGGTAAGAGACATAATGGTAAGTTTGCAGGCTGATAGGATGATTTGGTGATGAGAGAAATTGGTAGCTTTAGATAGATAATGGGGGCCAGCTGGTTTCATAGTGGTTAAGGTGGCTAGATCCGACTCTGGTTAAGAGTCCCAGACTCTGCAACTGTAACATGCCAAGTGCATGTGGGTGCATGCCTGGAATCCCCAAAGGAGGAAGATGGAGAAGAAAGTGACTAAGAAGGTAAAACTGGTTTTAAGGGACATATTATATTTATGTCATTAATAACAGAAAATAAATTTTTTAGCTTTATACTATTAAATATAAACCAGAAAACCACATCTATCCTGCTAAAATGATTTTTGTTATTTGCATTATTAATGCAAAATATGGGAAAGACCTCTTTTATTATTCCCTAGGTAATTCTTTCCAGCTGTGGTACAGGTAGTACAGAAGAGAGATCGAGGATAAGCTGTAACCTGTAGCTATTTATGTTTCTTTTTTTATGTAGCTTTTTGACTTCTGAAAACTTGAAGAATTAAATTTAGAGAACCATTTTTATCACATGACTTTGTTACGTCCTGCTGTGGAGAAATAAATTGTTTCCAGAGTGGTTACCAACTGCCATGACATTATCTGTGACGGCACATCCCATTCCTGTCCTTAATCAAGGATTGTGATTTGGGCTGTTACTTCTTAGACCAGAGATGGAGTCTAGTTTTCTTTGTAAATAGTTGTGTGCTCATTGCTTCTATTAAATTTACATGACAAGATTTTTAAAAGGACTTTTTGAAATTGATTTTTTTTTTTTTAGAGGTTTTTGCTATAGGGCGCGTGCGCTCACCAGACAGACAGAGAGATAGAAAGTGAGAAATCACCCCCCAGGGGGTATGGCCACGCAGCAATCCCTTCTCCTCCATTCTCCTCTTGGGATCTTGGGCATGCATGCACACGCGCCCGGCGTGAGTTTTAAGCCACCGGGTCCGGGACGCGAACTGCGGTCAACTACGTGGGAGTCCAGCGACATAGCCATTACACTAACTGCTGGTCCCCTGAAAAAGATTTTTTAAAGGTATGGAAGGGAATGGAATAAATAAGATTCTACTTTGGGACATAACTAAACTCAGGGCAAACTGATCATCTATTAAAACTTTTAGACATGGAGATTCTGTATCTCAAATTCTTAGAGTATGAGTGTTTTTCAGTTTTCTGATCTGTAAGTTTTTTAAGTAAGATTTTTGTAAGATGAAAATAATAGCTTTGGAATATGCAGGGTTTTGTTACTAGCTGAGAGACAAAAGGGGTATCTTCGCTCTCAGTTTGAGACTCCTCACTTAATGACCTACCTACCCATTTAACAGCCTCAGACTTAGACCAGTCCTCCCGTTCAGGGAATCCCCATTCTCAGTTTTTGTCTCATTCCCGCAGTCAGTATTCACCACATGAAGTGTTCACAACCACCCAAGACTATATATTCCTTTTATAAATTTGTACTTTTTGTGCACCTATAGTATTTAGTGTAGAAATGGTTGTACTGGGCTTATATTACTGTATTAAAATGTGGCTTGTCACTTTTGGCGCTTATCTAATGTAAGCTTTTGGAGTGATAGAATTTCATTATTCTAGTGTGGTGTCATATGATATCTGTTGGAAAATATATGCCCCGTGGTACCAGGACACACCACATGACGTCTGCCTTTAAGCTCCTTGCTACTATCAGTTCACTTAATAAGCTAGTCATAGGAACTGAACTCGGTCATTAAGTGAGGAGTGTCCATATTGTACTGAGGAGATCCTAACTGAAGATCCTGCCGGTTTCATTGCTCAGACCCACAGTTTCTGTTCTTTTATAAACCTACATTCATTGACAGTAGTAGGCTAAAAGACTCATCTGTGCCAATGGTAAGGAATGTTATTAATGTACTTAACATTTAAGTGTCTCATTTTTAAGTCCCAGTAAATAGCCATCAACACACAGATTTCTGTAAAGAAGGCATTATTACTATTGCATGAGTTGGAAAATAGCATGCATTTGATAGATTCTTAAATCCATCACACAAAACAGAGTGATCTTGTTGGGAGGCAGACAGTTTAAATTAAATAAGGCTATCACACCCAGATACAACAGTCTTGCAAAATTGTCTTTTTTTTTTTTAAGTAAGTATCAATCACAGTCTATTCTGACATACCTCGAAGTAGACTAAATTAGAGCTTATTTAATTAGAAAGCATGAACAAGGATATTCAAAAGAAAATTATTTCACTTTTTATAATATTTCTCATCATAACCAAAGGCTATAAGAACTAAATATGTCTTCGTATTTGACTAAGCATTTTATAAAATAGAAAGCTTGTGCCTTCTTGGGACCAGCAATTAGTGTAATGACTATGTCGCTGAACTCTCATGTAGTTGACTGTAGTTCAGTCTGGGACTCAAACCGCAGTCAACTATGTGGAAGTCCAACGATAGCCATTATGCCAACTGCTGGTACCAAGTTTCTCCTTTTCTTCCATCTTTCCTTCCTTTTCATTTACTAGAGAATGAGTGAAAGAGACGGGGGGAGTGAGAAAGCAAACTGCCAGGTCCAGGACTCGAACTGCGATTGGCCATGTGGGAGTCCAGCGCTCCAAGACACCATGCCGTCTGCCGGCCCCAATATTTCTTTTTTTTTTTAAATGCAATAATTGCACTTACAGGGCTGTAAAAAGATTGAGCTGATTCAGATAAGCAGTTAAAGCAGTACCCAGCACTCAGTAGCATTTCAGTTTCTTATTTGTATTTATATGTAATTTGTTAAGTTAAAAAATGAAACTTATGGCTAAAGCAAGGCGTAATTAATAAATCCGCTATTTTGTTTTTCTGTGGTGTCCCTAGGTATCTTTTTAGGCAAACTAAGTGGGCCCTTAAAGCCAGACTGTCTCACCCTCTCCTGGATACTGTGCTGTGTTCCCACCAGAGGGTGCACACAGCTTTGAAACACTATGATGGGCTTTGTATTTGGGCAGTCTCTGATTGCTTATTGTCCGGTTTTTGTTTGTTTTTGCTATACCTTTAGTTTGGGGCTCTATGAGTGGATTGTTACTTAACTATCTAAATTTCAATTTTAGGTCAACTGGAATGTTTCTCTGTTTTTGAGTCCTGTAAATATAAGCTTGAGTGATTGGCTATTAAGTGATACCTTGAGCTCTAAAAACCCTCAGAATCCCGTTGGCATGTCATTGCTAATTAGCTAGTCTGTACTCCTCTCCCTTGTCTTCTGATAAGAGACATTTTGCTGCTTCCTATATCTACTAATAATTCTCCATAGGGCTCTAGCATCATTTTTTTTAAAAAGCAAATCCAAAATAGGGCTTATAATATTTTTCTTCTCAATACTTTATAGGGGAAAAAGCAAGAAATTTTTGTTGAAATAACATGTTTTTAAAACTTTGTTTTACAGGGAACCAGCAGTTAGCGTAATGGCTATGTCGCTGGATTCCCACGTAGTTGACTGTGGTTCGCGTCCTGGACCCAGTGGCTTAGAACTCATGCTGGGCACGTGTGCGTGAGTGCCCAAGATCCCGAGAGGAGAATGGAGGAGAAGGGATTGTGGCGTGACCATCCCCCCTGGGGGATGATTTCTCTCTTTCTCTCTCTATGTCTCTGGCTGGCTGGCTGGCGAGCACACACGCCCTGTAGCGAAAATCTCTCAAAAAAAAAAAAACTTTGATTTACAGTGAACTTGGCAGAAATAAATTGGAATGGTGTTTGGGTTTTCTTTTTTAATCACTGAAAGAGCCATAAAAGTAGAAACTGTAGGAGAAACAATTTCCTTTCACACTCTGGCAAGAAGTAGATACGACTTAAGAGTTCTAGGCTTTGGTGTCTTTTGTCACTATGAGATTATACTAAGTGATCTGAAGTTCATATTGCTTCATATTCAAGAGCTATGTAAGCAGCTCTCCGAGCTTTTCATTAAGTTCATGTGTAGACATGCGTACATCTGTCATCACTGGGCACTTACAGTTTGGAGCTTTAACCACATGACAGGAATTGACTACTGTAATTTTGCTTCTTACCTTTCTATTCCTCAGTTACCGAGCTGATACCCAGACATACCAGCCGTATAACAAAGACTGGATTAAAGAGAAGATCTACGTGCTCCTTCGTCGGCAGGCCCAACAAGCTGGGAAATAATTGAGCTGGAAGCATTAGGGGGATGGGGTGGACTTGGAATACAGGTGTGTACAGCGTGCTGTAGTGAAAGTTTTTGTATCATAGTATCCTGTTTCCATTTTGTTACACTCTAGCCAAGATCGAATGTATTCGATGAAATGTGAGGATTTTGCTTAATCTCAACCCCTGTTGCCCCTTTTTTCTTTTTTTTTTTTTACTTAAACATTTTTATGATGATTTAGATGGAGATTGCTCCTTGTCAGTTAATATTGGCTCCAATCTTTTAAACCGTTCATACTTGTTTTGTAACACTCACTGTACTAACCCTTCAAGATGGGGTGGGAGGTGGTGACACAGTTTAGTTATGTCCTCGAGATAAAATCTTAGTGAAAAATAAAAGTTCTTTAGTTATATTTTCTCCCTGAGTGATCTTCTTGTCTCAACATTGAATTTTCTCACAAAGCATTATCAATTTCAAAACCAGTAGACTGCTGCAAAGAGAATTTGAAGAAAGCTTATGTATGTCGTGAATGTGTTTTACTGTGCTTTGTGTAGAGCTAATAAGCTTTTACTTCATTTTTTCTAAGCACCTTTATTGTAGTTCCAAGGTTTGTACCTACTGTTACAAAAGGCATTGTGTGGTGACATAGCTTGTCAGCAGAAGCAAGATGAGAGAGGGAAAGTGAGAAATCACTCAACACCCCCAGCCTCACCAGCAGCAGCATTAGCCACGCTGCAATCCCTTCTCTTCCATTTTGTCAGTATATTGGCCATGCACACACTAGGTGTGTTTTTCAAGTTGCTGGGTCTGAGACTCAAACCTAGCAATCAACCATGTAGGAATCCCATTGCCCCAACCACTATGCCACCTGCTGGTCCAGTTTTATTTTTCTAACAAATGCTCTTGATTTAATTTTTTGGAAGAATACTCTAGGAGCAGATCTGGAGGGAGTAGGTCCCCTTGATTCTTAAATATAGTATAGTTTTCTGTACTTAGAAAAATAGAATTTTCAGGGCAGCAGATGGCATGGTGGTTAAGGTGCTTGACACTTCCACATGGCTGACCATGGTTTGAGTCCCAGACCTCTAGTAGCTTGCTTTCTCACTTTCCTTCTCTCTCAGTGTCTGTCTTTCTCTGGTCAAATTAAAATAAATGAATGAATAGGTAATTCTTAGAAAAAAAATAGAATTTTTTAAGGATTATGAGGAAAACATCTAGATCCTAGAGATGAGCACAAAAGGTAGGGGGTGGTTTTTGAATCATATTAAAAACTCAAGGAAGAATAGAATTGGAATAAATAGAGATGTACATTTAACTTGTCTCCATTTTTACTCAGAATAGAATCCAAAAGTAGCCTTTTAGTTTGGGTAAAATCTGTGATGAAACTTTGTTTCAGTGGTTTGGCCCCACCACAACTATTATCCCTTTGTTAGCGATTTGGAGTATTTTTCAGTTTTTGTTTTATTTTGGTTCTTATTTCTTTGCTAGAGGGTACATGCACTTACAGAGGGTGGTAGGGGTCAGAAAGTGAGAAAGCACCTCCCCATTGAGGATGGTAATAACACAATCCATCCTCCTCTACTTTTGGGATTTGGAGTATGCGCGCACACACACCTACTGTTTTTTTTTAAGCCAGGACATGAACCACGATGTTGGCCATGCCATGTGTGATCCAGCCACCTTAGCCACCATGCCACTAGCTGACCCATTTAATGATATTTTATACTGCTACCAAAATGTGAAACTTGCTAGAGACGGTACTGAATCTCTAATTTACTAATCTACCTTCTTTTATATACCTGAGAATTTCTAAAATACTGAATATTCCTTGATGATGGTTACTTCTGTTCTTTAACACCTAATCTAAGAGGTCCCAGGAATATAAAAGGTTTTTTTCAATTATGTCACTTCTAGTTCTTTGACTTAAAATGTTTCTGAAAATTCAGTAAGTGTCCAAACAAGTTAAGTATCTTATATCTTACTCCTACTGTTTCAGTTAAGAGTGTTAGTACACTGTTTTACTTGCAGCAGAGGAATGACTTCAAGGACAAGCAGACAGTTTTGTACTGTCCCAAAAATACAGACTTGGGACTGGAAGAAAGAGGCAGGACAGTTCAGCTTTATATCAGGATGGCCCACCTTTATTAAATTGTTTTTACTAATTGAAGATTGGAATAAAAATTCAGGATTAATTTGCAAATATTTAATATAGTATATTGGTAGAGATGCTCTTAGGATTATAAATTTTAGTTTATAGGTTGGCATAGTGATATTCATATTAACACTTAGGCAAAACCTTTTACTGGTTAGCATTTTCACATCTTGATTATTATAGTATCCCTTTGAGGCAGGGAATAATCATTTCTCTATTAATGGTGAAATATTTTCAGATTATCTAAATGATTCACTCAGATCACATAGCAGTATCAGAGACTGAAAGGTAAGTTTTAATCTCAGATATTAAGAAGCACAAATAGTGAATTTCTAATACCTGTCAGAGGAAACTTTTTAGACTCAGTCAGATATTTGGATTCATAAGACTGAAAAGGTCAGGTCACCTTTTTACTGAAAAACATATGGGACATGAAACATCTTGCTTACCCAGCATCATCAGTGCTTCCCTGGGAATAGTGCTTGGAGTAATTCACATGACCTTCCAAGAAGTATTCTCAGCCAACAGGCAGCATGGTGATTAAGGCACTGGACTTTCACATGGATGGTTGTAGCTTAAATCCTGGACTCAGTGGCTTAAAACTCATGCCAGGCGCATGTATGTGCATGCCCAAAATTCCAAGAGGAGAATGGAAGAGAAAGGATTATGGCGTGGCTGTCCTCACTGTCTATCTGACAAGCACATGTGCCCTATGGCAAAAACCTTAAACAGTAACAAAAGTATTCTCTGAACATGCACACATATGCTACTCCAGGTGCTAGAGATAAGACTTAGGTAAATACTGGAGCCACCCTGGCTTAGAAGCCTTGTGTACAAGGTCCACTACCTTTTTTTTTTTTTTTTTTTTTTAAGAGAGATTTTTGCTGTAGAGCACTTGCACTCACTGGAGAGACAGTGGAAATCATCCCCAGGGGTATGCACACCACAATCCCTTCTCTATTTTCCTCTTGGAATCTGGGCATGCATGCACACACCCCCAGCATGTTTTAAGTCGCCAGGTCTAGGGTTTGAACTGGGGTCAGCTACATGCGAGTCCAGCAACATAACCATTACACTACCTCCTGGAGGTCCACCACCTTTTATAATAACATCATAGATGTAATTTTTAGGCATGTTTCTAAGACACTGGGTTTGGTACCAGAACTGCATGGTCAGCCATATGGTAGGTAATCAGGAAAGTCATGACGTATTTTTCTGTTTTCCTATGCAAAAATGTGTCATGATTTTCTCGACAACCCAATAGAATCCAGGTGCCTTAAGCACCAGGCCACAGGCTGGCCCCATAGATGTAATTTTTAGGTCCTTGCAAGAGACATGCCCCAGTTACAAGAGTCATTGTGTTCAGAGAAGCACAAGGCCATATCTCCTCACTAAGTATTTATAGTTTCTCCCAGTCTAGGTGTACTTTACCAATTAGGGATCATTTTTACCATAAACAATCTTGTCTAGTTATATATCACACCATTATTTCCTCAGAACAGCTGGAAAGTTAACCCAAGTTTAAATATATGTTTAGAGCAAGAGTTTTTCTAATCCTTCATCTGTAGATATTTAAGATGGCAAATACATATAGTTCATGGAGGTGGCATTTGAGCTGAGCTTTGAAGGATGAAGAAACTTGGGAAAATGGGAGACTAGAACAGAAGTAGTTAGAAGGAAATGGTAAAACAACCGATGTTTGAAGAACAACAAATAAGCCATCAGGGGTGGAGGAAAGATGGGATAAAGACTGGGAGAACTGTGGTTGGTGCGTGTTGGACATCAGGCCTATAGGATTTCAATTTAATTTTACAGGCTGCAGGTAGCCTTCAAAGATTTTTGAAGCATAGCCTGCCAAATCTTTGCATTAAGAGGAGTAAACACTGCTCTTGGTCGACTGGATTAGGAAGCCAGAGAATATAATATCTCAGAAGTCAGGATTTTTCAGTGAGACAGGTAAGATGAGAAATCAAAAAGGGCTTTCAATTTGGACTTTAGACAGTCTCACTTGTGTAATATGGAGACAGATCAAATTTGCAGGTAAAGAGTAAGGGAAATTGTGACGTAAAGCGGGAACGTAAAGTACTTTGAAGAAAGGTAATGGAGGACCGGCAGGTGGCATAGAGGTTAAGGGCGCTGGACTCCCATATGGCCAACTGGTTTGAGTCCCAGACCTGGCAGTTTGCCTTCTTACTACCCCCCCTACTCTGCCCTCCCGCTCTGTCCCTCTCTGGTCAAATGAAATTACATAAATAAAGTTAAATAAAATAGTTCTTTTAGAAAAAAGAAAAAAAGGTAATGGAAATATAGAGTGAGTAGTACTATAGACGGATTTTTTTCAAGAGAGGCTATTTATGTATGTATGTATGTATGTAGATAAAAGAAGAGTCCGAGCTTAAAACAAAAATTATTAGCTGATTGGTGGAAGGTTGCATTGCCATTGTCAGGTGTACTGATGGAATTGTTAACTTCAGAAGAGAAAGTAGGGTGGAAAGTTGAGAGAGTTCATGTTAGATGGTCTTAATTCTTTAAATGGATAAAACAGGTTACATTTTTTTTTGGAAAGATTTTTTTTCTAGGGCACATGTACTTGCTGGAGAGACAGACATAAAGTGAGAAATCACCCCCCAGGGGGAATGACCACACCACAGTCCCTCCTCCTCTATTATCCTCTTGAGATTTTGGGCACACACGCACCTGGTGTGAGGTTTTAAGTTGCTGGTCTGAAACTCAGCCGTGATTGACTATGTGGGAGTCCAGCCGTGTAACCATTATGCCATCTGCTGGTCCCGTAACAGGTCACTATCTTGGAGAAGGGGAAGAGTAGACATGTCCTAGGGCTTGAAGATAGTAGAAAAGTCTGAATAAATGTAGAGAATTTGAGGAAGTTATGTTTTTAATGCAACTAGTTGTAGTTAGCACACTTGATGACTTTCATCAGAAGCATTGCGTTTAGCTAGTGATGGAAAAGAGGGAGTTAAAGATTGTCATTTGTGGTGGCCTATGCTATACTATACAGAGATACTTTACCTGAACACTTGTCTGCTATCCTCATTCCTGCACATCAATAGTTCTAATTTTATAACTGAAGAAACATATTTAAGAGTAGTTATGCATGGGCTGGCAGGTGGTGTGGTAGTTAAGACACTGGACTCCCACATGGCCAACCACAGTTCAAGTCCCGGACCTGATGGCTTGCTTTCTCACTTTCTCTCTTCTTTCCTCTCTCTGGTTAAATTAAAAAATAATAAAAATAAATAATTTT